GATTGTTGGACTGGTGCAGTTGATAATTGTTTGGATGTTGATGTTATTTACACAGACTTTACTAAAGCTTTTGATAGAGTGCCACATGTGTTATTGATTAATAAGTTGCGTGGTTATGGTGTGAATGAGTGTTTGGTTGAATGGATTAAAGAGTATTTGTGTGGTAGAACTTTTAGTGTGAGAGTGAATAATTGTTTATCTAAAAGGTTTGAAGTTGGTAGTGGAGTGCCTCAAGAAAGTTTATTAGGTCCGGCTTTGTTTATTGTGTATGTGAATGACATGTTTGATATTGTGAAAGATAGTTCGTTCAAATGTATTTGTATGCTGATGGTGTTAAAATGTTCAATTTTATAAAATGTGTGGATGATAGAATAGTGCTACAAAAACATCTTGATAAATTGTATGATTGGTGTATGTTATGGAAAATCGATTTGGTTACTGAAAAGTGTGCCGCTATAAAATTTGGTCATTCATGTTTAGATAATAATTGGTGTTATACTATTAATAATTCTAACTTGGATTTTTGTGGTGAAATAAACGATTTTGGGGTTTTGTTTGAACGTTCACTGAGCTTCTCTAAGTTCTCATCATGTCATTAATAAATGTTTTGTTCTTCTAGGATTGTAATACAGAAACTAAAAATTTAACTAAAGAGTCATATATTTTGATTTATAAATCTTTAATTAGGTTAATATGGTGTTAGTGTATAGTCTCCTTGGAAAATAAAGGAAATTGACAAATTGGAAAGGGTTCAGAAACGGGCAACCAAGATGGTAAGGGATTGCAAAGTTCTTTGTTACTCGGATCGATTGAAGTTTCTTGGCTTGCCAGCTTTAAGATTTAGAAGAGTTCGTGGAGACATATTAATGATTTTCAACATTGCAAAGGGCATGGTAGATAGAGATTCCTCACCAGTTTTGTGTTTTGATGCGGACCCACGTACCAGAAGGCATCGCTATAGAATACATGTTCAAAAGTTCCATACAAATACAAGAAAGTATTCGTTTTTAACAGGGAGATCTCTATTTGGAACAATTTACCGTTATGCGTTGTTGAATCAGATACTGTTTCCAACTTCAAGAAGAATTTTGGCTTATATATGGCCAACAAAGATTTTCTCTATGATCATAAAATTGACATTGTTGTTTGATTGCTTTTTGTTGTCTTTTAATGCTATTTTGGAATAGGCATATATAACTTACGGTTAAGCCCATTATCTATTTATATTTATTTATATTTATTTTATTTAAAGCGTAAAATATTTGATCCAATACATTCGCTAGACAGTTTGCTGACATGAAGCAAAAAAGCTCAACAATCTAACATTTTTAGCTATCTTGTATTTCGACAACCACAATTTCTGGTGGCTATATCTATATAAATTTTCAATTTTAATATTCTTTCTTTTTGTTTTTTTATCGTTTAATTTTTCATTTAATTTAGAAATTAAACAATTAAATAGGTATATAGAGTTATGCTTTGCATCTTTTCAAAACTAACAGATGTTATTTTACAAAATGAACAAAATAACAAATTGAATTTAAAAATAAATAAAACAATTTTCAGAGTTTTAGACAAAGTTATCAATAATTGAAATTGTTGAGGATTTGTTATAACTTAATATGTTTCCATAAAGAACTGTTTATGGATATTTACATAAAATCATTCTAAAGGCATTTGTTCAGTATTGACTTTTTTAGACTTATATTCAAGCAAGAAAATATTTATTTACACAAATATATGGACCGACCCAAGTACTGCTAAAAGTTTGGCTAATATATTTTTCAACAGAGATCATAGAAATAATATAGTTGCAAAATGACAATACCGGTCTCTAACTTTAAAAATAAAACACATTTTTTTTAAACTTAAAATTCAACTACGTAGAATGTTTACAAGCCGCAGCAAAGAAAAGGTAGGAGAATCGGGACGCATATTACCCACTAAGCCTGATTAAGCATTTCCCTTTTAACGAATGATAAATACGGTTATCGTTTAATTTTTTTCAGTTATAAAATTGTATCAGATAAACAAACAAAAAAGATACCTCAAGAATGTTGTTGCTAGAATTATTCTTATCAAAATTCACAAAAGTTTCGATCAGGATATTGTAGCCAAGTTCATGCCTGATTTTTCCAATGACACCTTCCAAGACCAAACCAGTTCCATTCCAATTCTCGTCCAAAGCTGGACATCTACCAAAAGATTTGATAAGTTCAATGACTGGTTCAATTCCTTCAGTATCAATTTGGCCTAATGGTGAATTTGTTATTATTAAGTAAAAATCTAATAATCTATTTTTTAGTTAGCATTATATTAAAAATAATAGTTATATGCCTATTTACTTTAACTTTCAGGAGGGGCATTTTGAAATTTTTCTACAAAAAATAATGTCTAATCAAAAATTATTAAAACAAATGAGCAAAATTACATGAAATATAAACGAAATATTTTGGTTAAAATTATCAATTTAGCCAAAATATATCTTAGTCAATGAATACTTGATTTAGAAATAAAAACAAACTAGTGGTCTTTGGTGTTTGGACGCCTAAATGAACATAATTTTTGTTTAAAGGCAACAAACTCAAACTATGTAAACAACTATTTCCTGGTTTTAATAATATTTTTAAATTAATTAAAATTTCGAGTTAAATTAATTAAATTAAATTGTAATAAGTTAAATTTTTGCTAATAAATCTTTAAAGATGTCACCAAAATGGGATTTTGAAGAATGGAAAAAAAGGTTTTTGAAACACTGGTGAAGAAAGTAGAAATCTTGGAAAACGAGATTTCAAATCTGAAAAAAAAATGTCCAATTAGAATCGAAAACGGGCGATTTGGATTCCATATCATCGCTCGTAACATGCGAAAATTTGGCGTCAAAAAAAAATTTACAACTTGAATCAAAAATTGATGAGCGAGAGAACAAAGAAAAGACAAAATGATAGACAGAGAAACCTCAAAAAAGACAGATAAGTAGTTAAAAATGACAAGAAAAAAAGAAAAAAGTGAAGAGGAAGTTAATGTTGTGAATGCAATTGTTGCCGTAAATAAAGATAAAGAAAAAAGGGAAAAAATCGTAGTAATTATTGCTATACCTCTTCGAAAGAGAGTAACAATGAAAACAGAAAGTTTCAAGACATGGCAACTGTAGAAGATGTTTGTAGTGAGTTGAATGTTGACAAAGTTAACATTTTGAATATATTGTTCGATTCAAGCCTAAATCAAATGAGGTAACAACCTCTGTTTTAGATGGGTTTAAAAATAAAACAGTGCTAAAAGAAGTCATCTAAATGGCAAGAAATAAGTTAAAGAATTCTGAGAAATTTAAAAAAATCTTAATCTCACCAGATCTGAATGAATCAGAAAGAAAGTTATCCAAAGAGCTAATTAAAGAAAGAGATGAAAAAAATGAAGAGTTAAATAAAAGTAACCAAACTGAATAATCCCTTTCGATATGGGATTTGAGGAAACAAAGTTGTTGCAATATACAACAACAACAAACAAGTCTAAAACGAAAGAAAAGAGCAAGTATTTTTATGATGATAAAGTGGAATGAAGAAAATATTGGAATTGTCACAACTCCAAATGAATCAGCTGAGTTATTCATGAAATGCTTAGACAACTACTTCATTTATCAAATTGTTATGACACCTACTTTTCAGAAGGAATCAGGTTTTTTAACAAATGTTCTTGATTTAATTTTATCTTATCATGTAATAGAGTTTATATGTTGCAAAATTCACCACCGTTGGGAAATATTGAACATGGTCGGTCGTCATATACTAGAATTTAGATATAGCTATAGTGATTCAAACTCAAAGCACAGAATACATGTGAAAAAAATTTTATATCAGAAAGGCAATTATGTAGATTTAAATAAATTTATTATTAATATAGATTGGGATTTATTATTCAAAAATAAAAATGTAGATGAATGTTACAGTAAATGGTTAGAATTATACAATGAGGGTTGCAACAAATATGTTTCAAAATTAAAAACAGACAAATGTAATAAAAATAGAAAACATCTTTGAATAACAAGAGAATTGAAAAATATGAGCAGAAAAAAGAATTTGTGGTATAAATGCAAGAGGAATCGGTTTAGTGATCATGTTAAAGTCCTAGAATATAAAGCCATTAATGAAGAAATAAAAAAATTGGTAAGAAAATGTATAAGGGATTTAGAACAAAATTTAGCAAGAGATGCAAAAAACATCCTAAAAAAATATATGCCTATATGAATGGAAAAATAGTCATTCGAGACACCATAAAAGCTATAAAAAATTTTGATGGTTCTGTAATAACAATTGGAAATGCAATATCAAATATTTTGAACAATTATTTCAGCTCTATCTCTATTTTTACAATAAAAAATAAAAATAATTTTTCTATTTCTCTATCAAAAACAAATGCTATATGCATGTCACAACCAATAGCCAGGAGCTTATCATCAATATTTTTCTCTTTCAGCCACTCAACAATGTTATTTGCATTTATCTCCGCTGGTTTCTTGGACTCTGTAGCTTTCCAGGAACAAAATGCCACAAATATTTTTCTCCTGGTTCACTGCATATTGAATAGTGCTTCTCCTTTACCATACCTGGACATTTCTTGGAAGAACCAACAACGTCAAGCATCACCTTTGTGTCATCCCTTCTTCCATCAAAGAGTAAACAGCTAATGGCATGCTCTCTTATTTCACTTTCAAACTTAACATTGAATTCTTTAATCAACTTTTGCTGAGCCCTTTTAACTTTATTATGATCAATTATAAGATGTTTGTCTTTATCAGTGATGAGGCCAGCATCAATCCAAGCAGCAGTTGCTATTTCAGCTGTCTCTCTTAATCCAGTGTGATGTCTCATACTGGCTAGTGCAACGTTTCTTATATCTGAGTATTGTACACTTCAGTCATCTCACTGTTCTTCTTTTGAACTTTGTTCTCTACATTTGATTCAGATTTCTCAGAGTCATCACTGTCCTCACCAGAAATAAACTTAAGCTACTAAGTTTTCTTCTTTCTCTTTCCTGGCATTTTCTTTTAGTTTCCTAGCTCTTTTCTGTTCAGAAAGGCTTCTGATTTCTTGTCTCTGAAGTTTTGCTTCTTGCCTTCTTGTCTCTGGCACATCTTTGTTCGCAATCATGTGAATGCTGATGCTTCCTTGCTTAGCTTTCTGCGCTTTAATAAACATCAATTCGATCACTGGAATCTTCTGATCTCTTGCGCAATTACAATTTATGTGTACTTTTTGAAAACATTCAGGATTATTACATCCATATTCAGAACACAGAACAATTGGACACTTACAATGAAGAATGTCGAAGAGTTGGTCAAGACCTTCGGTAAACTTTTCTTTTTTGTCAAGCGTTCCTCTACCAAGTGACACATCAGTAGCTTTATTTCACAAATTAACGATTCTTTCCTGGATTGTTACTTCATGAATAACAACAGGATATTTAAACTTAAAATTTGCTTTGGTCCACTGATAAAAGAGGGCAGTCATAATATCTTTGTCTTGTTCTTTTTTGGTATAATTTTTTTGTCCTTCTCGCTCAACTGCTTTAGCAGAATACCGTATCTTAATAAATCTCTCACAGTTGGTAACTCTGAGGTAATGATCTGCCTGCCAGACCCTATATAATGACTAAGATGAGTGGAGGTCTTTCCTCTGGTTTCAATAGATGCAGCCATAATCAGAATCAAAATAACAATGATAGTAGTTCTTTAATTATTTGCAATATCTGAAAAACATAAAAACAAGTTAACAACATTTTATGTGCGTTAATTGTGGTCTAATTTAATAACATACAATATTAGGTAAAACTGCACAATCTGATTAAAGAGATGCACTTCAAGCTTGACAAATGCTGCTTTATGAATTTTTCATGATTTATAGCATAACTAACAATGGAGGTACACTCAACTTAAAGTCATGTTACCCGCTCTCTCGTAAATAATGTAGTATATTTGTAAAACTTTCACTCAAAATTTACCAAGCTTAAAGTGCATCCATTCCAAATAGAAAGATACCAACGGAAACAGGACATCAAAAAGCTTCTTTTGCCATGCCCTGGTTTTTTCAAAAAAAAAAATTTTTAAATTTGACGCGCCTTAATATGCAGACCCATCTTCTGATGAAATCATTATTAAGACTAAATTAAGAAATTTAAATGTAAATAAAGCTATTGGAGCAGATGGTGTACATCCTAGAATTCTCAAAGAGTGCTCAGAAAGTCTAGAAAAATCACTGAAAATATTATTTGATAAATCATACCAAAACGGTAAAGTGCCAGAATTGTGGCTCTGTGCTAACGTTTCACCCCTATATAAGAAAGGTAATAAATTAGATCCATCAAACTATAGACTGGTTTGTCTAACATCTGTAGTTTGCAAAATAATGGAGAGTATAACAAGAGATACACTAACGAAACATCTAAATGAAAATAAATTAATTATCAAAGAACAACATGGTTTTGTAAATAATTAAAGCTGTTGCACTAATTTATAAGAAACATTCGATTTAATAACAGAAGCAAATAAACATAATATACCTGTCGACATAGCATTTCTTAATTTTGCTAAAGCTTTTGATTCTGTACCACATGAACGATTATGTATAAAATTAGAATAATCTTGGTGTTAAACATAAATTGTTAGGTTGGTGCAAAGCATTTTTAAGTAAAAGAAAGCAAAGAGTGGTAATGTGTTAAGCTGGATAGATGTCCTGAGTGGGTTTCATCAAGGGTCAATACTTGGAGAATTACTATTTGTGGTGTACATCAATGACCCTACTATGAACGTCAGAAATAATTGTAAATTATATGCAAATGACACAAAGATTATTAAATTAATAGAAGATGATAAAATTAATACTAATTTACAGAGTGATTTGGATGAAATGTTTAATTGGTCAGACAGGTGAAATTCAATACTGAAAATGTAAAATAATGCATATTGGTAGGAATAACATTAGATTTTATTAATATATGTATAATGATAGGAAAGAAAAAATTAAATTAAATAAAACTGAACTTGAAAAAGACTTGGGTATTTATAAATCAAATGATCTTAAATGGAAAGAACATGTCTATTACGCAATTGGGAAAGCAAACAAAAACCTAAGCATGATTAAAAAGTCTTTTCAGTTTTTAGAGAAAAAATCACTAAAACTGCTATGATAATTTGAAAATTTGATGTGCTGAATTACATATCGAAATATCTGATTGCAGAATGCTACTATCTACACGTGAAACTGAAATTTTAACATCAGAAGATCTTCTTAAATTTATAATTGAATTAGGAGGACCCAAAGGTGTCTAATTTTCGAGTTGCTCTTCAAATTTAATTAACTCTAAATGTTTCCATTGCTACTTGTGAGCAATCATTCAGTAAGTTAAAATTATTACTACATGACTTAAGAGCTACGATGAGTCAACAGCAGCGAATGTGCAACTTGGCATTGCTGAGTATTGAAGAAAACGAAATGAATTGTTTAAATTTTGAAGAGATAATCAACGATTTCTCTTCATCAAAAGCCAGAAAAGTTGACATCTAATTAATTTTATCACAATTTTATTACATTTCCCTTTATTAATAAATAGTATTAATTAAATGTCAATAAATTGACGACAAAAAGCAACCAGGACGATGATCGCTAAACAACCGATTAAAAATTGATTGTTTACTTTAACTTAAATTCACTTTTCAACAATTATGTAACAAATTTGTTTGAACAATATTATTATATATATATATATATATATACATATATATATATATATATATATATATATATATATATATATATATATATATATTTGTATTATTAACGAAAAATTTAATAAAGCGCTAATTCAAAGGATCTCAAAAGCGCTATCAAAAAAAATATCATGGCATAATCAACATAAATAAAGAGTTATCAGTGCATTTCAACGAAAAAATTTTAAGAAAAAAAAACACTGTCTTCATTATTTCCTTAATCTAACATCGCACAATAAACAAAATAAATCACTCAGTTATAACTAAAACAAGTAAGTTCAATGAATTACAACGAAAATAAGTTTTTAGTTTTCTTTTAAAATCAGGCAGGTTCAACTCCAGATCTCTTAGAAAGGCAGGCAAATTGTTCCAAACAGACGGTCCCAAGACGGCGATGTTACGAGACCCCATATGAAGACACGAAACTGGGACTTGCAGCAGGTTCAGATCATGAGACCTCAGATGCGTTCCAGAAGGAGGTGCCAACTTTTTTGCAAACATTTCCGACAAATAAGGTGGTGCAAGACGATTTGTTGACTTGTAGACTAGAGTTGATATTTTGAAGATTATTCTTTTTTTTACGGTTGGTGCAGTTGTTTCAGTATTGGTGATACGTGATCATATTTTAAACCGCCGACAACAACCTTTGCAGCACGATTCTGCAATGACTGAAATATAGCTAAATGTTTATCAGGTAATTTGTAAAACAGGCTATTACAATAATCAATTCGTGAGTGCACGAAGGCATGAACCAGAGTCTGCAACGTAGTAGTCAAGAGATCTATGTATTTGATTGAGCTTTCTTATTTGGTACATGCATTCAACGGAAAGCATTCTAATGTGATCTTTCATTGACAAATTGGAATCTAGAATAAATCCCAGACTAGTAGCTGTTTGGCAAAACGGGATGACACTGTTTTTGATAATGATTGAATCAGTTTCTAGCTTCATAAGCTGTTGCCACGTACCTACCGGCAAAAATTTCGTTTTACTCTGATTCAGTTTAAAAGCGTTGTTTTGCATCCACAAATCAACCTTTGATAAACATTCAACCAATCTGTCCAATTCGGCCTGGAAAGTACCGGGCTTACTGGTAACAATGATTTGTATGTCATCCGCAAATGCATGATATGAGAAACCAAATGATTCGACCACTTTGAATACCTCAGATGTATACAGAAGAAACATGACAGGACCCAGAACCGAGCCTTGGGGCACACCAGACAAAACTATATTGACCTCGAACACTTTACCACCAAATGATACTTGCTGAGTTCTACCAACCAAATACGATTCAAACCACCTTAACACAGCACCAGAAAATCCAAAAGTAACACACAATCTCTCTAAAAGTATTTTGTGATTTACACAATCGAATGCGGATGACATATCGAGGAACACCATCATGGACGTCTTCTGTTGATCGATAGCCCCATAGACATCAGACAGAACCTTTAATAGAGTCGTTTCAGTTGAATGGTGTTTCCTGAAACCTGATTGATAAATCGGCATTAAATGATTATTCTCTAGGTGAGTGAGTATCTGTTTAACAACCACACGTTCAATTATTTTAGATATGAAAGACAGATTGGATATCGGTCTATAGTTTTCAACATTATTCTCATCAAGATTGTGTTTTTTTAGTAGTGGAGTTATTATAGCATGTTTGCAAGCAGAGGGAAATTTACTTTGATTTAAATACATATTGACAAGGCATGTCAAAAATGGCGAAAATAGATTAATAAACTTTTTGAGTATGTGAGTTGGTATTGCATCTTGTTGAGAAAACTTTGTTGGTGAATTTTTTACTATGTTAATTATATCTTCCTCAGAAACATCTGAAAATGTTGCGAACAAATTTTTGAGATTTGATCTGCAATCAGACGAGTTAGACCGAACTTTGATTTCGATGCTGTCTATCACCTTACTCAGTTTGTCGTTGAAGAAGGACATAAATCGATCCGGTGTAAGTTCATGCATGCTAGAAGAATGATTGTCATTATGATCTCTGCAGAGAATTTTATTCAAAACTTTCCTGAGATTTTTAGGTTTTGTCGTGTTCTCCTCGACAATCCTAGTCCAATATTTGTAACGTTTCTCTTAAAAAAGTTTTGATTTATTTTTCAAAGCACATCTCCATTCCTCACGATGAACTTGTTGCAGACTATTTTTAAAAATTCGTTCTTTCCTTCGACAAGCACATTTACAAAACCTGCACTCATCATCAAACCACGTTGCCAAATTAACACGATTGGTGACTACCATATGGATTGGTACAACTCTATTGATCACACAATTTATTTTGCTGATAAACAACTGCAGTTCTTCATCAATATTTTCTGTTGAACATGGTTTTGATATTGGAAAGTCAAGAACAAGTTTAATAAACTGATCCTCATTCAAACGATTCCATAATTTGACTACTTTTTTATTCTTTACGTACAATTTCGAGTCATTGATAGTGCAATTTTAATAAAACCATGATCAGAGTGGATCCAGTGTACCACCATGTATGTGCGTAGGTTCTTTTACATGATTTTGAAACTGAAAATTTTCAAAAACATCAATTAGCCTAGAGGCATGTGGATCGTTAGTCCTTTCAATGTTAACGTTGAAATCACCTGTCAAAATAATACGAAAATTTAATACTGTTACATTTTCTAGCACCAATATCAGCTCGTTAAAAAATAATGTAGATAATTGAGCAGAACCCAGTCTATAAATAGCGAGCAATATAAATTCCTGGTTGTAGGTTGTAAATTTGACCGCTAAAACCTCAAATGTGACAACTGCAGGTAAATCAATTTTTTTGCATCTCAAACAGTTACGTAAAAAGATTATTAATCCACTATGCATGCAAAGGATCATAATTTCTCACACAATCCGCAAAACGATAACCAGGAGGCATTGATAGTGCAATGGATGGATTATCTGAAGACCCATGTCAAGTTTCGGTTACAACGAAAATATCCAATCCATTGTAGATCAAATCATAAACAACATTAAACTTTGTAGAAATCGACCTTATATTTAATAGACCCAGATTTAATTTAACCCCATTAGAACCAGCAGATATATCAAAACCAAGACCTTCACCACTACTACCACCATCCATCACACTCCTAAAAGCAGCCCGGCCACAACCCAATCCATCAAAATTTACTTTTTTCCAACCGGGAATCTTACAATCTTCCATCTTCCCGGAGAACCGCGAACCTTGAATAAAAAATCTTTATTAGCAGCTTCCTGCATCTTAGCATCATCTAGCAAAATTTTCAATTCACCTCTCTGTTCTTTAGTCAAGTCATGACTAATGCCAATTCGACCAAATTGATCAACCAGAAAACTTAATTTAAAAGTGCGTTTTATAATTTGATTTTTAACAGCGATATTGTCCAACTTGATAAGCAAAGGTCTCGACGTGCCATCAGTTTTTTTACCCAATCTCACAATTTTTAGAACATTTTTATCAGACATGGCGTCATCTCTTAAATGATTCAAAATTTTGAAAACTCGCTCTTTATCGTTGACACCTTCCGGCAGTCGAAATAACATTATATTTGTTTCCCTATCTTTCACATCGCTTCAATCAAAGTTTTATGCACTTTTTTAACTTCGGCATTAAGAACGTCAACGTTCTTTTTGACTTCTTGACTAACAACCGAAGCAAAAGTTGACTTTATATCATGTTTTAACGACTGCATTTTGTCATTCAGATCTGACTCCGAACCACCAAGTTTATTTAATATGGCCTCGCTAGAATTAATGGCAGTTTTTATAATTTCCATATCTGACTTTATTGCAATATTCAAGTCATTCAATTTATCAATTTTCTTTGACAATTCATTTGCTTTGGACAACAACTTAACATTTGGTGTAGTCTTGATGCATATGTCACAAAACCATTTAACATTGCTGCTTGTACGTATAAAAGTAACGACATTATCCGGTTTATATCGACATTATATATATATATATATATATATATATATATATATATATATATATACACCTACATAACGTGTCTGCCATATCCATATTATATATATCCTAGGTGTAAGTTGCTCATTTATTGTTTGTAAACATGATTTTTGTAAACAATTTTTTACAATTTACTTTTTTATATGATCAGAGTAAATGTATTTTTATAATTTACTTCTTTTTATTGTTAACACATTTGTCACAATTTAAAAAATTGAACATATATAACTTAGTTTTGAATTGAATAAATTAGAAATTGAATTTCTTTGGTCAAGGAGCGCTAATAAAAGATTTGCCTAATTTTAATTCTATAGCCGCTACGCCACTTACTTTCCGAATAACAATTCACTAACGTTTATCACAAATACAACAAAAATTCAACAACCATTCATAATCTCGCATGCCTTTATATACCCGTTTTACCGATGCTTCTCGAACCCCCTAGATATCTCGCCGTCGGAAGGTACTAGTTCCTCCTCGAACTGTGTGCGGTCGTAGCGACACTAGCCCTTTAGCGAATATATTTGTGACGGTTATAATTATAACAGTATGATAGTATAAAGACGGTTGAATCCGGATCTCTTGAAATGTCTTTGGGAATGGGGATAACGTGGACTACAATAAACCTGGAATACATATATATAATATGCCCCAAACGGTTAGAAATGTTCAAATATTTTCGTGCATATTAACCAGTCAGTTTGCAATTTATGACAAGAAGAAGTAAACAATTTTGAAACTTCAGCAGCATCAAAAAAGCCATCATCAAAAATGCGCTATCATAAATGCAAACTTACTTTGGTTCAGACAGGATTTGTAGAATACTTTAACATTCGTAATACTCGGTAGGTCATCTGCACTCGACTTGTTCAAAAGGCCTTTAAAATTAATTATTGGAATCTGTTCTCAGTTTTTCTATTTGTGATTTAGAAAATTAAACTTTGATGAATGTTATCAAATTTATTTATTTATTGAATGAAAATGAAGGATGGGCTGAAATAGCTTTTGAGATTTTCTACGCATTTTCGATACATAATTTTAAATTTATTTCAAAAATATTCACGCTTTATGATATTGTTATTTGCTCAAAAAATACCAAATTTTTTTTCTGCTTTTTGCGCTTTCGAAAACCCAAAATTTTTATTTTTTCAATAATTGTAATTTAGTTTTACTAAAAAGACAACAGACATCAAAGTTACGTCAAAAAGCATCATTTAAACAACCTATAAGTTGAGTTTTGCTTATGTCAGCCATATTTTTGACGGTATTCATTTGAAAATCGTCATCGGGAATTGAAGTTCTTTCTATCCACGATCCACAAGCAAACTTGTAAAAGTCGTCGCATGGGTTGACGTTCGTGTCAATATTTGAATTTATTTCCGCAGCTTGTAATGAATTTGTTAACTATACACTAATTTTCAATCATCACGCAACATTCAATCGTGCAGTTTTGAAAAAATAAAATTATTTATTTTCTTTCGTTGTGTAAATGAACTAATTAATTCAATTCCAAACAGATACTCATAAAATTAATTAAGGTTACAAACCTAATCTTCTACAATCTGGAGTGTTGCATGTACCATGTCTCGCTTTTAATTGTTGAATGAACATTTAATTTAAATTTATGAGGAATACTTTCAATTTAAATTTTCACAAACTTAATTATATATATGAGGAATACTTTCAATTTGAATTTTCACAAACTTAATTATGTTGATGTGTTGTCAACCGAAACGGCAAGGACATGGCGTCGCTATTAAGTGACATTCGGCCTTCTAAAAGATTGTAGATGACTTCTTAATCCAAAATCTGATGCGCATAGTTTACCACAATCTATCGATGACCAGTTGGCTTCAATTCTCTTGATGATGCTGCATGACGTATAAGTCGACGGCTGTGAGAGGTATTTGTCCATTCCAACATAAAACTTGTAAGACCAGTTTTACAGATCTTCTTTCATATAGATCGATCATTCGCTATTTTTTTCAAGTCCAGTCGAGTTGATGTTACATTTTTGAAGTACGCTTTTCACTTGATCTACAAATCGCTTTTTTGGCCGACCGACTCAACAATAGTTTGCTGTATAACAATCTACGAGGTAGACGAGCTGTTGATGTAACGATAGATAGTTAGCCGGTGTAGTACATGTAATCTTAAACATATCTGTGAGGGGTATTCTCTGCCACCATCTTATTTCAAGAATGCTGCGAAGACAGCGAACATGGAAGGCGTCGAGAGCTTTGGTGTGTCGACGATAAGGAGTCCAGGATTCACAACCGTGAAGCAATGCAAAATTGCAAACAGCTTTGTACACAGCAATCTTTGTCACCACGGTAAGATTGTGATTTAAATGCAACCAACGCCACCCTAATACGATACTCAATATTTCACGATCCAGACAGCAGTCAGTACTGAGCATGGCATACTACCAATATACATGAATTCGTGTGAATCATTGAGAGCATCTCCATGAACCACGAAAGGTGTAGGTGGTTTGTTTTGATTTATAGCGAATGAAAGTACCTCGGTTTTTCAGAGTTGAAAACAAGTGCTGCACGACTATAGGCACACGACAAGACATTAAGACTATTTTGGAGAGCGGAGATGGTATCGGCAGCGTCATCAGCGTATTGGAATTCAAAAATCCTATCGTGTGATACTTTGCTTTCCGCCTTGAGACGTTGTATGTTAAAGAGGCTGCCGTCGAGAAACAGATTAAAAATTACAGGGGCCAGAACGCAGTCCTGTTTTACTCCCACCAAAACATCAAACGGTTTAGATTCCTTACCACCAACAATGACTTTAGCTCACATACTTGTATAAAATTCACGCAGTACTGTCAGAAATATTGGCGGGCAGTCAAGTCTACCCAGGATCATCTACAAAAAGTTTCTGTTGGTCGGATCGAAAGCCTTCATCAGGTCAATAATGAAGGCCAGGAAAAGATCCGGGTTCTGTTCACGGCACTTTTCCATCAAGAAGCGCACTGCAAAAGTCATATCGGTGGTACTACGACCGCTTCGGAAGCAACATTGCGTTTCTGGAATGACAACATCAACAATTTGAATTTAGTTTAAATACTTTGTTCCTCACTTGAGTTGCACATTGTTCTGTGATGTCAGAAAAAAATGGCATCATCTTTTTTTGTTTCATATTTTTATTTCATATCTTTGCACATCAAATCATTTGAACAAACGGCTGAGCCAAAAATATTTAAAATAAGATGAAAAATATTTCCGAAATCTCTAAATTTTGGTGAGTTTTGGTTTTTTAACATTTTGGTAAAAATGCCGACATTGTCATTTAATTTTTACCCCGAGAACTTGTTTTGCTATTTTTTCTCTGATAAAGTGTTGTACTAAATGGAAAAATAAAAAAAAACATACTGACTATATTGAGTCTTTCACTTATGTACATAGTACATACATATGCCAAACAAAGTTGTTTCGGTGAGTATGCCACAATTTATTCAAGAAATATGGCCAAGCACTCCATGTTTCTTTTTCATTACTTCATTACTTTTCATCGGATCAACTTTATTTAATTTTTTCTGTCTTTCTGAGGTTCAGTATAGTATGCGCCGATGGCATTTTTACAAATGTCATCTGTTCTTTTCTATATGTCACGACTGTGACATATAGAAAAGAACAGTTCTGAATTACTAAATAAAATTTTTATATGTTTTTTTGTTTTCTTCCTAAATCATACAATCGAAGTCTCAATAATTGTGTTTTTTCAATTTTACTTTTTTCAATTGTATTGTTTTCTTTTTTAAATCAAAGGTTTTTCAAAGTTGAAAAACATTTGTGATATTTTCTTTTTGTCTCTGTTGTTTTAAAAATTTAGTGTACTGTGCTATGTTGTTTTTTCTGTACCCAGCTTCTTTTTTTTTTTGTCAAAAATGTTTCTAACTGTGTTCGCAACAAAACTATCATTAACATTTTAAAACTTTATTCAATAAGATAGTGGTCTCGTAAAAGTTGGACTGTGTTTTGCTGCACTTTGAATGTCAAAACAAAAAACATTGATTTGGTCAATTTTTTGGTATGACTTCTTCTACCTAAATTATTGCCATGAATTTACTATATGGCGATACGTTGTTAAACACATTGCACAGTTTAGTGAGATTGGTGCTAATTAACTGACAGATCTTCCTTCATTGAACGGCAACTTTTGCCATAGTCGAGTCCAACTTGCGGGCTGTCGATCTCTGGCAGACTTTACACCTTGATGGTGAGCAGCGTCAACTTTGGCACCCAGTAGTGCATCTTCAGCATCATGTAGGTACAGTTCCAATAACTTGAAAAATTTGTGGATTGTCGTCTCCCTCTTCATCTATCACCTCATGCCTGCTATAGTAAAGGTCACAACATCGTTCTGTCCTACTGTTTATAATTCTTTTTTGATTTGTAAAGTTTGATTATTTTAATTTTGTATATTACGGCACGACTCGGTTGCCATTTTCTATCAATTTTAATTAATTTTATTTTTTCAAATGCGTCGGCATACTGACGTCGTGTGATGAAAAGTAGTTTTTGTAACCTTGTAAACCACAAAAATCAATCAAAACTATGCAAAAGTTGAGTTAAAATGAAAATAAAAATTAGATATTTTTAAATGATTTGGGGTCAAATCTATTATTAAAAGAACTGAATAGTGATTATAATGCATTTGAGTTCATGTCGGTCAAACCCAACACAGTGTATGTTTGTTTGTGTGTTGTGTGTGTGTGTATGTTTTTTTAAAAATTGTGTGTCCGTGTTTTTAGTTGGTCATTGCACTTTTTTTTAAATTTTATCGATTCAATTCTAATTTATTAAACAAGCAAAGAGTAACGTTTCATAATATTGACTAGAAATTGTAGATATTGACTCAGATGTCAATCAACACTTTTAAAAGTCTGCCGAAAAAATTTTATTTTTCATTACTTTTAACGGTAAACGACCTTAAATTATTTTTCAAATTTATATTTCTAACCGTTATATGACCGGAACGCCACAACATCAACAGCATCAACGTCATCTTTAACATCATCAACGACAGCATGACATAAACAATCAACACTCTTTTGCAAAAAAAACTGCCCTTACCTCACCTACCATTTTTAAAAACTTTGAATACACGCACACTATGATATGCACTGTTGGTTTGACTTTTCGCGAATACAAACACACAAACAAACAAACATATATAATAAATTAATTTACTAACAAGTTTTGAAAAAATGTTATAATTCATTTTTTATTAGCTAAATTCCTGTACTTTTAGGAAAATTATTTTCGGCATTTGTTAGAACCCTACGCTTCTGGCCCCTCACCTATTTAGGTCAGCCTCAGGTCTACTGAAACAAATCTTATACACTCGGGTGCGTAGTGTTTGGAACAGTTTTACATAAATAACTGCAGGCTGCATACACTAAAGTTTAAGAGCAGGAATATGGAGGCAATTTTTTTGAAGAATCTCATTCTGTTGATTTGCCAGGAGAACTTCATACGCCACATCTTATGAAGAAGTTCAAATGATTGTAATCTTTTTATGTCAAGGAGTCAGCAGATAGGCGTAAAAACTGTAATTTATTATTTATTACTTATTAGTCTTAAATGCACCCGTTTTGTGGGTGTTTGTGGTGAGAAAGTATTATTTCCGAAGTCTCATCGTCTTAGTTTGGCTTTATTTATGAACACAAAATAGGCTCGTGTACGTTTAAACTTTTAGACTCGATGTGAAGAAACGATTTTCCATTTACGTTTCATTCTTTTATTTTATTGTGTCATTTTTCATAATCTAAATATTTCTAGTTTCACCTGAGACACAATTGTAACTAACGACGTTGCAAACTTGCAATGATAGTTTCGTTTACATTCAATTGTTATTCAATAATGAAAAAAGTACTTCACTAAGCTTTGCTTGTTAAATTTAAGTCTTTTCAAATTTGCTTCCATGTGCTTTTTGAAAATGTTTTGCAATTTTGAAGAACATAATAATGCTGTGGCTTGCATTTTTGCCAAGTTATCAATAGGTTTGTAATTTCTGATAAATAAACACAACCTCTTCAAACACAAAACTTGTTTAAACTTTTATTCGAATGCCGACAGTAGTAGAAACACTAATTTGTAAGTCTTTTGAGAACAAAAAATTGATAATTATAAGCAATTTATTTTAATGTTGAAATAATTAGATTTTTGAAGTGTAAGTGATATAGGCACATTTTAGTTGTGACCATTTTATAACTGTTTTCACTGTTATATAGCGCATTTATCAGTGGGATTCATTGGACTTGATTCTGGGCAATTGAATGCCTTGGAAAATTCATCAAAATTTTAAAGTGGAACCACAACTCTGCAAAAAATGTATTTAAACTCATAATTTAGCATGAAATTTTTTGCGAAAAATTATGCTTACCTGGCTTCGAAGGGAGAATGTGCAGATTGCATGGACTCCTTTTGTGCTTTACTCGTCATTTTTGCACAAAACGACTTAGTTTTAAAAATATCTATTAGATTAAATCAACATTATTTAATTTGTGTTTGGTAAAAGTAAACCTGAGAAAAACTTATAAAAAACAACTGATCTGGAGTATATTGGAGACCAGACAACAATGTGTTTGTGAACTTGCATCTTTTGGTAGCTTTATGATAAACCTGTAACATAATGGCATTGCACCACATATAAAAAATATGTTGATAAAATGAATGTTTCAGTCAGAAGATGGCTCTATGATATGTCTAATGTAGATTAGATTACGTGAGTCCCAAAATTGTAACGAGACAACATCAGCTATGTTCGAAAACTTAAAAAAAAGACACTATGACGCACAATTTGGTTTATTATTATGTACTATGCGTCATTGCCAATGGATATAAATATTTTGTTGTCTAAAATAAAATTAAAATAAATTTTAAAGAGTTGTTAAAA